GTGAAAGTATGAGGAAGTAGTTAAGTTTCAAAAACAAGCAAGTTTTAGCAGAAATTTGGAAGCTTTCCATTCATTTCAATGGGACAAATGAAAGGAAAAAAGCTTAATAATTTAAAAAGTATAATAGCAGAAAATACCAAAAATCATAGCACACTTTAGCAGAAATAGCAGAATAGTTTAAAATTTGAACGGTGAAAATAGCACAAAAATTGTGGAAGTAGTTAAACAGCAAAAAACGTACGGAAGCAACTTGAAGAATAGAGAATAAAGAGAAACAGGAACTCAATAGTGTGAATGCCTACAGCATTCACACAATTAAAGCAACAAAACAACCTGAAGAGCCGGTTCGGAGCCGGAAGAGCCGGCTCTTTTTAGTGAGCCGAGCCGAAAGAGCCGGAAATCCCATCACTAGTGGATGATTACTATACCTTTCTAATGTGACATTGTTGTCCCTGGCTCTCTTTTCCTTTGTTTCTATGCTACTGCCAGTGTAACTACCCCCCTCCCCCCTCTTCCCAGCGCAAAGCACAAGGCTCGCGTGCGGATTGACACGGAAAAAAGTGCAAGAGAGAGGGTGAGAGAAAGAAAACAAAAACCCACAGCTCCCAATAAGGAGCCGGCTCGCGTCGTTTACGTCAAAGACCTGGCTCCACACATCACTAACACACACACCCAAACATACACACAAACATGGAAACGAGGAACAGCAGCAACAGGCAGCCAAACCAGACAGACAGGAAGTACCCGGAAAAATATATAAGGTGAAATGAAATTGAGTGCTGTGAAATGTGAACCACTGGAGCGACATGAGGAAACAGCTCTCGATGGTGGCCAATCTCCTCTGTTTGGGGTGTCTGCTGAGCGCTTTTATCTGGTACACATTTGAAGAAAGGTGAGTAACTACCTTTGTACTTACAAATGAAAAGGGAGAAGCCATGCAGTAAAACAAATATTTTGATCAAATGTAACTTATGTCACTGTGAAACCACAAAAAAGTAACATCATGTTTTTTATTACAGAAAAAAAACAGTCAAGCTCTGTTAGTGTTTTACTCTTATTATACAAGCCCAATTCTGAAACACTTGGGAAGCTGTGTAAAATGCAAATGCAAGCCAGAGGTGGAAGAAATACACACATGCTTCATATAAGTAGAACTACGCATTTTGGTCTTAAAAATACTCTAGTAAACGTGCTAATTCAACTTCTTTCCTCAAATTGAAAAAAAAGTGAAAAAGTGCAGGCTCCAAAAGGTTCTCAATGTTGGAGTCAAATTGTTAAATGTTGTCACTGTGTTACTTAAATTTGTAAGTCTTAGTACAAGCA